GGGGAGGGGAGGGGAGGGGAAAGAGAAATTGAGCCCACAAACTATAATGAATAATGGGTCTAGAGTAGCTGATATGAGAGATCAGTGTGTTGGGAGGTGATATGGATTTCCATAAAGTGACACCATTTCAAATCCTGACTTATTTTTTCTTGCAGGCTTTGGGAACCATTACTGCAGTGCCGATTAAAGTTCCTCAGGTCAGCTCCTTGCAGAGGTTGGCTGGACAAAGACCAGCAGTGCTACCTCAGGTAAAAATACTGTTTTCATTTGTTATATTATTTTTATTAATTGAATTTGTGTACTGATATGCAGACTATGAGCCATTTGTTTAGATGCCGGCTAGTCAACCTGGTTCAATAAACACATGGAATTGATCTTGCAAGGGCTTGTATAATTATTCTGGTCTAAACAAGTGTCATTAACCCCTGGAAGCAGACTGCTGTGCAGACATCTCTGGGCAGATAAGAAATGCAAATGAATTGCACAGTTCCTGTTCTCCCAGTCCCAGTCCCACATATGGATAGTCTGTCGTTAAGGAGTTGCAAGGACTGCATTTAGTTATGCTTGAGCTTAGTCTTCAAAAACATCTCAGGTGATTGGTATAATTCTCAGTTATCTGACAGAGTTGTGAACCTTCTACCATGGCTGCTGCATGTAGTTGGGAGTGGGATAATAGCTGTAAGCTGTTTTGGAGAATTTCCGTTTTGCTTGCTGTGATCACTGCTGCATTCCTTGCTGGTCTTGCCTCCATGGATGGAAACCCCCAGCATTTAAGTAGCAATTAAGTGTTGCTGCATAAAAGCAATGTTCTTACCTTTGATACTAAGATCCTGTGATGGCTGCATAAATGTCACATCCATGCTTTGGGTGGTGTTTGTGAACGCTGGAGATGCTAATACCATACCCTCTCTGCCCATGGAATTATTGACATATTTATTTTAAAGGGTTTAATTTATGTCAAATACTTCCAGGTTGTATACTTCCTGCTGTAACAGGAATACTCCTTCATCTTTCTCAGCAATATCCTGTCTACTTTCTCCTCTGGCCTTACCCTTGTTTGTTTCTTTGTTTATATTGATTGAGCTTACAGAACATGACAGCCCGCCCTGCAGATTAAGCTAAGCTGTGTAGACTGTTTGCAGAACAACCCATGGCCAGGCCAGCAGACAATTGAGCTTACCATGGGCTGTTCTCCCATGGGTTGTTCTAGCCAGAATCACAAGTTCTTGCATGGCAGAATCTATCTTATCTCCCCTTCCCTGCTCACATTCTTGTTTGCTGAAATAAATGCTGTGAGGTCACCACCAGTGCCAATAGTTAAAAAAAAAAAGCCTTTCAGAGGTCAGCTAAATGGAATGGAATGAATCCTGCCACACTGGGGCAAGAGGTATAACTCTCACTGGTACTGGTGCCTCATTTTCTTTGTCCCATTCTGCCACCTCTAAGAGTGCTTTGTTTAAACGTTATGATTGCACATTTTGGGTAGACAACTGGAAGACACAAATTTTATGGCTTAAAATTAATTGAAGGGAAGTATAGTGCATATTTCTCTTCCATTTACTTCACAGACATAAAATTATCTGTATACTGTCCTTTCATTTACCTACATCCATAAAATTAGTGCATTTTTGACTGGGAAATAGGCCGTATTACAGACAGTTTCAAAACAAAACAGGCAATATCTTAGCTGAGCAGTTTTAATATCAGTTTTAAGGCATGCAAAGCATCAGCAGTAGAAGTGGAGCTCATATCTGGTGTATAGTTGCAAATAGTATTGCTCTTTCCTGTTACACATTTCAGGTTCCAATAAAGTAGAGTCTGTGTGGCATCACTAGTTTCCTAAACAAGCTTTAAATCCAACTTTGCTGTAGTGGAAATTTAGTAATGCAGCAGAACTGTCTCCTGCTTCCCTTGCCCCTGCAGCCTTCCACACTGCTTTGCATATCTAGTCTTCCAGAGCAGATTTGAGAGAGCATGGTGACTGTCAGCTACTTGTCGTCCGCCCCTGTTTTATATTGTGTCTTCTGATCATTGATATTCACTGATGGTGAAACCTCACAACTCTGCCCTTCATTTCAGGAAAAAAGGCAACTGCTTAGAATCCTATAAAAAGTCATCTACCATGACTCCTGATTTTCAGATTTCCATCTATCCATATGTCATGAATGGTGCTTCAGTTAGATGTTTCAGTTCTTCTTTACGGTCTCTGTGCATCACACATATGGGGCTCTGTTCCTGCATGGTGCATGTTGTCAGAAAGATTCTATTAGTTAAGCTCCATTTTTGGTGGGAGCTCCGCCCCTTCTCCCTCTAGTATAAATAGGAGGGGCTCCTGCCATTTTCCCCAGTTATTTTCCAGCCACCATTTTGGGTGCCTCAGGTTTCTATCTCTCTGCATTCCTAATGTTTCCCCTTAGCATCTAGAAACTTCTAAACTTGCATATGTTTCTTTAATTTACCACTTCTAGCTATTTTTCTTCAATTTCATGCCCACTTTTACCTATTATTTAGAAAAACACATCACTAACTCCTCCTCCCCCATTTATTTTGTCCACCTCTTTTTCCACGTTCCTTTCTTCCACCTCTTCCTCACAGAGGCTTTCTGGAAATGTGTCCATTGAGGCACACAAATGCCCTCCATGGATGGGCATTCTCTTTGCCTATTTTGTCTCGGTAAAGACCACCAAGTGGACTCTTGCCCCCATTGCCAGGCCTTTACCCAGCAGGCTTGCAGGACGACTGAAATGTGGAGCCACACCCTTATGGTGGTATAATCAGTCACCACTAAGCCTCAGGATTGCCCTTTTTCCTCCTGGGCTCCTGCCTTTTCTCTCATGCGCCATCAGTGTGAAGCTTCATTATGCTGAGGCTCCACTAGCTGTTTCATCAACTAAGTGTCTATGCAAAAGGAAATGCCAAAAAAGTAGACAAGTCCCACAAAATGTCAGACAGTGCTAAGATGGAAATCAAGAAGGGTAAAGAAAAGCCCTCAAAACAGGCCCGACACTGCTCTCCATCAGCACCTTTAGTGAGCATTAAGTTGCCCATTCCACCAGTGGCTCCAGCTATTAATCTATGCCAGCTCCACAATTGGTCTCACAACTGACTCCACCTCTGGTCCCAACATCCAGGCTCCTGCTCCCATCTGTTCATCATCCACTTCCCAACAGCCCACGCCATCGCAAAGACTGTCTTCGCCATCCAGCTGTTCTCCATCTTCAGACCCACTGATTATGCCTCTGAATCTGATCTAACTCCACTCTGAGGACTCAGTTTCAACATCCCCCACAACATCATTTCATTACAAGGTCTGGGATCCCCCTCTGAAGATCTGGGAAGGTTCTCTGAATAGGTTCTCTGAATAGTGATGTCACTCAGACTGGAGACTCACAATTCATTGAGTCTTCAGAAGACCCAGTCTACACAGAGGACTCTGTGCCAGTGGCCATTCCATTCCTCCCCACGTTCCTTCACTCCATGAAGGAACTGTGGAAGGCCCTGACAGAGCTGCAGCCAACATCCCACTTTTTGAAGAGCCTGTAAAGTGTTCAGAATAGGGATAAGGATCCTGCTGTGCCATCCGTGACTGAACTCCATCATCATAGAGGGACAATTACAGCAAGAGCGCACCACCCCGGCAGACCACGAAGCATAGCACCTGGATGCAGTGGTGAAGAATCCCATGCAGCAATGGGATTAGGTCTGCTTCTCTCCAATTTTTACAAAGCCACTGTAGGAAGATACCAGGTCTTTCTGTGGGAAAAGATGAGTGCCCTAGCCAAATTTTTCCCCAAATAACACTGAGAACTAGGGTATTCCAGACAGAAGCCCTTCAGTTGTCCAGGCAACAGATAAACACTGCATGTCACCATGTGGTCTGTAACTCCAGGGCTCTTGTCAGCACAGTGATGATCCAGAGACATGCCTGGCTCCAAGCAGTGAGCCTTTTGCAAGAGGCACAGTCCTGCATTGAGGAAATGCCCTTTGATGTTGAAGGGCCCTTCACTGTACAGACCAATGAAAAACTCAACATTGTGCAAAAGGTGACAGCAACAGCAAGGAGGATAGACTTTGGATCAGCTCAACCATCTAGAGCATGTAAGTGGCCTTGGGGTCCACCCTCTTTCCATAACCAAAGCCACTTCAGTAAGCCTTTGTGCCAGCACCAACTGCCCCAACAACTCCATCAGGACACACCCTCTTGATTCCAGCCAACAAACAAAAAGTAGCTGGATACCAGGAGATGATAACGCTGACTCTTTGTGCAAACCAGTACACCTTCCTCAGTGCCACTTTGGTTTGAAGGCTACCTCAAGATAGCTTCCTGAATGGGAAGCCATGACATTGGATTGGTGGGTCTCTTCATCATGGAGAGTAGATACCACATTGAATTTGATACCCTGCATTCCGTGTGCATGCTGTCATCTTCCCACACTTTGGTGGAAGAGATCTCCACATTTCCTCCTGGAAAAAAGTAAGGTTGCTTGACTGTAATTGACATTCCTCAAGTGGTATCTGTTCATCACACATATGGGGTTTTGTGGCTGCATGATGCTTGTTTTGGGGAAGATTTTTCCTAGCTAATTTCCATTTTTGCAGGGAAACCTGCCACTTCTCCTTCTACTATAAATTGGGAAGGGCTCCTAGATCGAATGAGTTTTCTCAGTTTTACACGGTTCAAATGAGAGCAACATTTTGGCCTGAGGAATGGTCTGATCTGTACCGATTTGGGAAGGAAGGGTCTGGATAGTGACCGAAGAATGTCTACAGCAATGTAGGGTCAGTGGGTGGGTCGAATGAAAGCCAGATGACCATTTCAATAATATCAGTTACAAGTATGTAACCTTACTTTCTTCTTTGTGGTCTCTGTGTATCACAAATGTGTGATTAGCAAGCTTGCCCCAGTATGGAGGTGAGCATTATTGTCATCATAGGACTACAGAGAGGACTGCTCAGTCAAAAGAACAGTCTTGACTGGTGCGGACATTGGGCCAGTAATGTCTCACAAAGGTCAAAGGCATGGACCATGTTGCTGCTTGGCAGAGATCTTGCAGTGGGAAGCTGGCATGTAGTGCTATGAAGATCACCACTTATCTGGTGGAATGTGCTCTTGGGTAATTCCAGGAGCTGTAGTCCAGCTCACTGGTACTCTAGTTTAACAGTCTCTATGATCCAGTGGGTGAGTTGCTGAGAACTGATGGGTTTGCCCCTGGACTGTTCACTGTAAGTAACAAAGAGTTTCTGGGAA